TTTTCTTTGTTGACCCCGTAGATTTGTTGTTTCGTCTTCAACCAAGTTTTAGTTTGCTTAAAACAGTTTCCTCAATATTCCTTTCATTTTTTCTTTATTTTTTGTAGGTGGTCAAAATCCTTTATGGACATCACGAATGACCATTTTCTTCATGGTAGTGTGGAAATCCCTACATATAGGTGTACCCACTAAACACTCCACATCCTTCAAAAGCTCGTCTGACCGAAGTTTCCGGTGACACTTAGGCCTGTTGGCCCATTGTACCATCGTACCTCGAATATAAGGGCCACTTCAAATGCCGCCATAGTAACTGTGAGTACTGCTGCTCACAGTATCAGAAGGTCGTTTGAAAGACCCTTTGCATTCCGGTTCATGGGGACTACTCTTCCGAGCCCTGGTCTCGTCCATGAAGAAGGCCAGAAGTAATGGGGGACGGGGTTGGTCCATCCCTGTGGTGCCCCCTGCACAGGGCTAAGGCTGTTTACTCTGAGTAGTCGCCCTGTTTCCCAGAGGTCCCTTTATCGACACCATATAACCTCGGTGCCATTCATTCCTCGTCACGGGCTCCCACAACTTGGATTAGGTTGCCATAGCCTCTTTAACAATCCGCGGCCACATATGCAGACTTTCACAAATTGCCCCATCCTTGCACTCAGATGTCTACAAAACTGTCCCATCTGAGTGATTATAGCAAAGATGTTCCCAAAATGCTCAATCTGCCAAGCAGCCGCGGCTTGTCCTCCCCGCACTATGGTGAGGTTGGGCTTCAAGGAAGAAGGAAGAGAAGGAGAATTGACCAAGAGAGGCCGATACAAAAGATTGAAAACTGAAGAGTGAAGAGGATACCACCAGATACGAGTTGAAGATTAAAGAGTATCTGGCTTGGGTACCTCGGGATTGCCATTTCCGTGGGCCATGGGCCCCTGAGAGATCCTTTTATCCTATAATATACCAACTTACGTAATTTTCACGTTGTCAAGCAAATTGATGGTCGTTTAGCAAATACATTATTACTGACAAGCTGAAGTACCATTCTTTGGCTCGAAACTTCAGCCGGCAACAGAGCAATTATTATTCGAAGAAGTGCGTTAGTGAAGTTAGCGAACATATTATGGAATCGGACGAGGAATCGGGTGAAGAAGAACATGATGTATAGGTACAATATGTAGTGCTAGAAATCATAGAATCAGCTGTTAGTGCAAATGTAGGAATATATGAATGGATATGTGGTATTGAAAAGGAATATCTCTGTTCATATATTTATGAACACAGGAAAATGGATATATATATATAAAGATGTATGATGAATATGAATCCATCATACATCCTAAAAGGATATGTGGTAATTTTGCACTTATCATGTGATGGGTTTTTTTCCGAAATTGTTTTTTGTTACTTATACGTATTTTTGTCTCAAAAACACGAATTTGATAATGAAAATATGAACAAACTATTATTTATTGAGATATTTTACTATAAAATTACAAATTTCATCTTCTCTTCCGCCTGTCTTTTGGATCGCATTTAGAACAATTCGCCCTTCTCTCTTCATCATTGGACAATAATTATATATCACGATGTACTTCAATGACACACTTTTTCATATCTGAAAGTCAATTAGAAATATGATTTTCTTGCGATTTATCCATATTAACAGGTTGAGTGCCGTGAGAGTCCAACATGGTCTCGCACATACTTCTGACTTTGTGGCTGCGTGAGACCAATATGGTCTCGCAGCATTGTGAACTAAATGGCGTTCGAAAGAGCACGGCCTGGTGGTCCAGAGACATATTTTGGCCTGTGGATATGAGAGACCAAATTGGTAGTACGTGGCTAGGAAATGTTAAAATTCTTTTTTTTTTCTCACGCAAATATATAAGTACTTTCATTAGTTTTCTTCATTTATACAACATGAACATGTAACAAAATCATACAGAATATTCTGAAAATGAAATGAATATCATTCGTTGAACAATATACCTACTGTTAGAAACTGCACCATTCGACGGTATATTGTATATTATTATCATGTCTGAATGTTTGAGTTTTTCAAGCACCGTCTCTCTTTGTGATCTTGGGGCGTTTTCTTGGTTGTTTGGAAGATGCATTCTTGAACGATGACGAAGAATCTACTGATGACTCACATTGACATTCATCAGAAAGATACACGTCCCCAAACAGTGATTCTCCATCTTGATTGCTTCAGTTTTCGTCTTCATCGGACAACACCTTCTGGCATAACTTCGTCAATTGCTTGTTGTTTTTTCTCGTACGAGGACATAATTTGCAAAATCACGAGACAAGCTGAGCCGGTCTCCCGGTCCCCCGCTACGATTCTCAACATGCAGACATGCGCATAGCGTAGTGACACGTTGGTCTCGCCACGCATTGTGGTCTCCAAAAATAAAGCGCCATTTTCAACCTTCCAAAAATTCCGGCACATCAAAAATTAAAGTAAATATCAATGGTACGTTAGTATTTGATGTTTTAGGCAAAAATAATGTATCGGCCTCTGGAACCGATATTTTTCAATACATGGTGGCACTCAACCTGTTAAGTGAGAAGAAGGCAGAATATCATTTCAAATAATGGCGTGTGTAATATCATTCAACAGCAATCTGTTGACATTTGACATCTCGTATTTGGATTGATTATCGATCAAATGGCCGTCATCTGGTATGATTGTTCACCAAACATGCAAAACTCGCCATAAAAATCATATTCCGTACTTATTGAATTTTCTATATAAAACTGTGTCATTGAAGTACATCACGAGAATATACGACGACGAAGCTACTGTGTTAGCGAAACATGTCGTGTGTTCGAGAATTTTGTGGAAATCTTATCGTTTGTAGAGTTTCTACATTTTCCATGGATTTCCAAAAAAATTTAAATTAAAAAAAAAGTTTTTTGCGAATATTTCTGGAACCATTCATTGCACAAAAACAGCTTTCGTGAGCATTTTCTACTCATGTTTAGTGCGGATTTTCTTTCTTTTTTGGTCGAAATTGGTGGAGATTTTGAAGATGTAGTGAGTATTTTTATCCCCAACTTCTACGCCACTGAAAAAAGTATAATTTCGAGCACACAATTTGAACTGCGAATATTTCCTACACAAAAAAATAGGGCTCTAAATGTGATCGTTTTCGAGAAAAATCAACTTTTATGTTGAAAATCATGGTACATTTTTTTAAAAATTGCTGCGTGCATTGAAGCTAACCGCGGACGTTTCTAACAATTATTTATTTAACTGAGTATGATTTGCTATTGTTTTTTTGTTCAGTTTTGTAATATGAAGTTAACTTTTGTTTTTGTTACTTGTTCTAAAGTTTAAATAGATTTTCTTCAATTGGTGAAAAAAAAATTGTTTCCAGAAATTTTCCATGATATTCAACATGAAAGTTGATTTTTCTCAAAGACGGTCAACTTCAGAGCTTATGACCACGAGTATTTTTTGTGTGTAAAAAACATTGGCCGTTCGAAAAGGAGACTCAAACTGCACTTTTTCCAGTGGCGTAGGAGTTGGGGAGAAAAACATCCACTAACCCTTGAAAATCTTCACCAATTATGACTTGAAACAAAAATTCCCACAAAACATATCTTATTATGAGTAGAAAATGCTTACGAAAGCTGTTCCAGAAATATTCCCAAAAAACTGTTTTTTTTTTCGAATTTCAACACCCTGTATCTTGAAAATGGTGCATTTTAGAGGGTGAGTTAATATTAACTTTCATTTTACTTGGTTCTTTGGGATTTTCTCTCCTCGTTTCTATAAAATAAAAGTATTCGTATTATTTCAATATATTTGTAGAGGGACAAATCAGATGATTTGCCCCAAAATGTCACTGCGTTTAACAAATTTTTCTATCAGGGAGTCTAAAAGAAAAATCCAGTAGCTTGTCAGTGACAATTTGTTTGAAAAAATTTTTGAAGGAAAGAAATATAGATATATTGAAAAAATATCGAATTTGTACTTATCTTTGGACGTTTCGGGACCGATTCTGCGCCCGTTCTCAACATGTAAATGCAAATTATGTTTCTTTGAAAGTTGTGCTGCGTATATAGTTTGACACTTTTCAGTGTCATACTGATGTTGGCATATGAATGAGTGATTTTAGTCTACAAATGAGTTACATGATGTTTTCATTAATTGATCTTGAATCTACCATTTTCATGTTCAGTTTTCAGTAGTGAATACCATGTTCTATCAATATCGACTGAACAGGAAGCAATGCTATTGTCTCCGTTTAGAAGAATGCAAGCGGATTCCTTTATAAAGGAAAACTGAACATGAAAATGGTAGATTCAAGATCAATTAATGAAAACATCCTGTAACTCATTTGTAGACTAAAATCACTCATTCATATGCCAACATCAGTATGACACTGAAAAGTGTCAAACTATATACGCAGCACAACTTTCAAAGAAAAATAATTTGCATTTACGTGTTGAGAACGGGAGCAGAATCGGTCCAGAAACGTCCAAAGATAAGTACAAATTCGATATTTTTTCAATATATCTATATTTCTTTCCTTCAGACATTTTTTCAAACAAATTGTCACTGACAAGCTACTGGATTTTTCTTTTAGACTCCCTGATAGAAAAATTTGTTAAACGCAGTGACATTTTGGGGCAAATCATCTGATTTGTCCCTCTACAAATATATTGAAATAATACGAATACTATTATTTTATAGAAACGAGGAGAGAAAATCCCAAAGAACCAAGTAAAATGAATGTACCACCTCCTCGATTAACCTACAGACAGTATTTAATATTAACTTTTTTAAATGAATTTGAACGCGCTTTCAGATTCTGAAGTCCTGCGCATTTATTATGAAACACCCTGTATATCTGATATAATAATAATGTATACCACTTTCAGTTTCAGTTTTGATGGACATTCCTATTTTCCTAATCCAAGATCATTATTTAATTATTTCATATTCTTCTGGAACATGGTTCATTGAAGAAACAATGGAATGAAACCAACAAATATACCTCTAATCCATAATTTTATTTAGATTTTTTATTCAATAAATATCAAATATCAAAAACAGAAATTTTGGTCGAATTCCATCAGTCCTCTCTTCACCAAGCGTGGATAGAAGGCACATGGGCAGCATAAGCCCATGGGGCTGCGTACGCCGAAGCAACCACTGGGCTGCTGACGACGTCACTTCTGTAGCTGTGGCTCACAGCGGATGGCAGATGTACGGGAGCTACGACATTTTCCAAAATGGGAGCAGAGTAGGCAGCTACGATTGGCCGGTTGATGACGTCACTCCTGTAGCTGTGACTGACAGCTGCTGGTACGGCAATCGGGGCTGAGTAAGCTATCGCTGGGGCTACCACTGAGGTGTGCAGCAATCCGCTGGGCTTAGCTACGGCAAGGGCTACGAGAGCAGACAACACCACCAATTTGAACATCTTGAAGAAATAGGTCTGTGTTGCGAGTCTTGAGACTGACTGATGAGAACTGATGCGGGTTTCAAATTTCTTCGGCTTTTTATATCCATTCTTGACATTGAACCGAACGCGTTATAAAAACGAGATCCTGAAATCAAGGAGGAAGAAATTATTCCGGCATAGCTTTGTGCTTTCGATATTATTGTAACTTTTGAATTAGGCCTTGAATTTGAAATCGACAAAGGTTGTTATTATGGATCTAGATAATTCACATTTCGGACATCAATCGCTGCGTATTACGATAGTAAAAATAAGCATTCACAGAATGTTCGAACGCGGGCATGGCTTACTTATCACAACAACGACAAAACAATAACAGTTTATCCACATTTGGGTACTATCGGGTAATGACGATCGCGATGATTTTTTCAAAAAGAACATCCTATACAACTATAATCCAATTCTGGAATGTGCATAGAAAACTAAATTCAAGAATATATCACACATTGAATTTGTATACAGTGTGTCCGTTATATTGAGTGTTCTCCTAAAGTAGTGAATCAATTCTCAAATAAATAAACGAATAATTTCTGGTAAAAACACTCAACGTCGAATCTTATTTTCATATGGACAAATGATACATGCAGAATGATATAGGTGTAGGAGAAATTATGTCACACTGAAAAAAATAATCGGTAGTAAATACAACAAGTTCAATAAGATAGGCGCCAGTTACATTCATATAATGATATACCACTACAGATTTGTATATTACTAAGGATTTTGGAATATTTTCGACTCAGGGGGCGAGCTGTATGGAGCTGTCAGTTCACTTAGACCGCTCGGTTGGATCCATTGTGTTACCCCTGTTGTTTCGTTCCACACCTCTGACAACTTGTCTGTAGGTGGGCGGCGATTTCCTTCCATTTATGAAGTACCGCTGTGTTCACCCTCATGGCTCATTCCTGGCCTCCAGAGGAGCCAGGTTGCCTGCTTTCCCGGTGCCAGACCGCAGTCAGTTCCGCGTATGGGTCTCCATGTGAGCCCTGTTTCGGTGCCCTCAGGTACAGCTATCTAGCCCCCCAGCAAACATTTTGATACGGGGCATCAATGGCCTTATATACTTTTCCCAGCAACCAGTAAATGGTCCCATATGCGGGACTCTGTATATCAGTACACTGCGGCCGGCAGCTGGTCCCAGTGCTGGGTACCCAGCAATCATATTCAATTCCCCGGCAAAAGGCCAGTACATATAATCGACACATTGAGTTTCCTATAGCAAGCCCAGCATAAACATGAATGATGGGACTGTAATGGCCAATTATCGACTTGGTTACATACTATCCAGGTAGAGGAGGGGTAGGGGGTTCAGGGGTCCAATGAATCTGAAAGTTCTAGTAACTCTTTATTTCACAATTCAACCCTCCCATTTATAAATTAGACACATACCAAATTCCGAGAAAACAATTTGGACACAATGATATTTTCTTAACCTCTCTGTTCTTCAACGATGAAACTTCTCGGAGTGACTGCTTACTGGTTGGTATATGTGGCATCTACATCTCATTGGGTAGCATTCCTTCAAAGATGATTCTTTGTTGTGAGGTGCTTCTGAAATATGAAATACATCATTAGTTATATTAGTGGCCTATGAGTTGCATGAGTCTATAACTTGATAATATAGTCTGATGACGTGATAACATGGAGCTTTTTAATTCTCATTATTTTCTTGGCACAGGTATTTCTGTAGCTGAAACCTTATTGTCATTCAGTTCTCCAATATAGAGAGTGGTTCACATAACCTAAGATTGCTATTGATAGCAACAAAGGAGTTAAAAATGATAGTTGCTTTTGGAGAAGTATAGCCAACTCTAATTATTATGATCACATGCATTTAATAATGAAATTAGAAACACTAGGTAGGTAGATTGATACTCACTCCATATTATCATAATTGTAGAATCCGTCTTCTATTATTATCAATTGAGAATACTCCTGCCATCATAAATAACCACCAGGGAAAGAGAGAGGACCACATTAATTCGACAACAAACCAGAAAAAAACGAAACATACGCGATCATTAACCCACTCACGAGAGGCAGCCATCTTAGTCACATATAATATTGATCAGCTGATTGTTGATGTAGACGTTCCCAGAACATCCACCAGGGGGACGAGTAGCGAACAGGAAATTGGCCAGCAAAGGGCCAGATCTCGTTAGTATTCAATTAGTTCCTGACATCTCACCATCACAAGGCCATCATCGTATTTTTAACTGATGTTTACTTTTCGAAGGAAAATCATCGGCCCATTACCAATACCACGGCATCTTCACTTTCCCAGACTAACCTGCACTAGGCCGGACTTCTCCCGCTAGTTCAGTTCAGTTTGCTGGGCCGTGCTGGTTCAGTGCCTGATCCGTCCTAACGCTAGAGCTCTCACTAGTCCGGCTCCCGAGCCCGCTTGTCCCCAGCTAGGGCCCTTCTAGCCTTCTGGCCCAAGCCAATGGATGGGGTGGGAGTGAGTCTGATTTCATGTGTCCATGGTCATTTCCTGAACAGCTCTATTCCTTCGCAGAAGGTCAGTATTCTGTTCAGGGAGATATTTCTTAACTAGGGAAAAAGCCAAATACACAACTAGGGAAAAAGCCAAATACACAAAGTGGAATGCATTGGTCACAAAGAGAGAAACTCAAAGTCATTACCACAACTAGTTCATAAAATGAACGACAATGGTAGATAACGAGAGGAAAACAACTACTTTCCTGGCTATTTGCCACGCAGAACATTGTATTACATCCTCCCGAAACCTATGCGATAGTTTGTATAGACGAATAATTAAATGTCAGTAAATAGTAAATCGAAAGTTGAAGAAAGGTCATGGGAGCCGTTTTGACCGATAATGGACCGTTTCGACACAAAAAAAACATTAAGTTGAAAAATATCGATTTTGAACACCCTATATCTCTGAAATTATTCCCGCTAGACCACAAGTGTGATGCATTGAAGAAATCAGCACTTCAGAAAGAATCTGAAGATGCAATTAAATACAGAGTGTTCCAGTTGAAAATCGAAAGTTGATGCCCGTTACGCATCAAGGTTTCAACTTTGGAATATAGTAATTGCAGAAAAATATGCCCCCCCCCCCTCCCGAGTTGAAATCGACCAGTTCGAGGTATTTTCAATTTTTTTCACGATTTCGGAGATAATTGTGGAGATAAGTTTCAACCGCAATCGCACATATGAGTTAAACAGATTTATATTACTTTCTTTATTCTGGAAGTCTTTACAATTTCTGAATATGATGCCTAACATTCTTTTAGCTGATGATATAATTCCAGTAAGGTGTGGCAAGAACTGGAGTTTTGAATCGATATAGATACCGAGAACTAAATGTGGCAAATTTAGATTCAAAATTGACATGTTTTAGGAAAATCCCCAGTGACGGATTGTTTTGCTAATAATTAATTCATTCAGTACTTTACGAATGTACAGTATAGTATGTTCAGTGAACTTTGACATGACTACTCATTTGCAGAATGTTTGTATTTAGGACATGCCTTTTGAAATCGAGAAGCGTAAAGTTGAGCTCATTAGTTATGGTTACGACTCGCAAGGTCCCATACCACCTGAAATATGAGGAATTCGACCAAACGAATAATCTGATGGGGCAATGATTATTGTCGTTTCAGGATGTGTGAATTCATATGAATAATTCAAATATTCACGTTACTTGGATAATTGAACACAATCTTTCAACATTTTCATTGTCTATATAATATATAACAGTAAATGTTGCAAGTCTTGATATGAGATATTCCATTTTTCCATACTGTGGTAGGTACGGTTCCATAGTTCAACATGATGATTCAAGTTTTCTGCCTCTTTGTATCATTATAACCAAAATAATTCAGAAATATGGAAACAATTACTATCGCATGCATTCTTATAAGGAATACAGTAGATATAGCGTATTATCCCAGGCAACCAGATGACGAATGATCACGTCACTGTGACGTCCCTAATTGGTTATTTTTCGTCAGAGACGTCACACACCAATTTATGACGTCACTATGACGTACTTTTTATGACGTGATAATCACGTCATCGTTTCGACGTCGAGTGAACGTCACTTAAATGGGTGAAAGAAGACGTCAGTTTCATGACGTTGCAGGGACGTCCTGTCGACGTCCATTTTTCGTGACTTATCCTCGTCATTATCACGTCAATGCGACGTCAACTACTGACGTCACCTTGGTCATTCAAGTGACGTAAAAAAGACGTCACTGGAACGTCATCTGGTTGCCTGGGATACTGTCTATATGTCGAACCAGGGAATATTCATTTTTCCAGAGTTTTTGAGGTTCTCTCTGCTTGTTTCTTCAAGTGAAAATTAGAGACGAGCCAGAGACAGAGCCACCTTTGACTAATAAATCGCTCATTCCGCTCGCGTTCCGCTCACTGATCAAATCATACCTGAGACGCGAGCGGATATCGTGGCACTTTCTTTCCACTCCCATTTCTATTTGCCTGGCACTCCGTACGAAATACGAATTCAGCCGCCTTGATTTGTTCGCTTGCTGCCTTGCTGAATACCGTAAAAAAGTCCATAGACTGAGTTGGTGGTGGACTGTTTTGTTCGTCGAACAAAAATGACGCGGAACCGAGGTGTGTAGTGTGTGGTTAACAAAAACGAGCATTTTGCAGTCACACATTTCGATTTTGCGTCATTTTTGTACGAACAGACTTGTTCGTCGAACATAACAGCCTACCAACAACTCAGTGCATGGGCCCCTCTCACGCAAGCATTCATATCCAATCGCCTAGCAACAACTTTGGAAACATATACTTTTCTCTACACTTTTCCGTAAAATAATGAAACAGTATTTTAGAATTGAAAAATCGTACACTTTAGGCACACAAAATATATTAAAAAAGTGCAGTTTTGCAGTTACAGTTGTGAAAAAACAAAATCAATTGATCAACTAGTAAAACTCGAAGTGGTCTTCACCAGGTTTTTTCAAGAGGCAGTGGACTATAATTTTTCATTTTTTAAACTCTCGATTTCATATTCTTTTAGGATTTTTTTGTCGAATCTAAGGTGCCCTTATCATCAATAATGCCACGGTAATTTTCAAACGGCTATAAATTTACCGCGAGTAAGAACTGACGTCACGATTTAGTAAGTAGGGGCAGATCATCGCACAGTTGCCTTTCATGTTAGAATACGATTAGAAACTTCAGAAATATTAGTTATTCAATGAACCATGAATTCTCAAATATGTATTGGTAATATCCCTAATCAGCAAACGTGACAACACGGCGCACGAATTGTGGGCGTGGTCTTGTCAGTTCTCAGCATTCAGCACATTGTTGCCAAGTCTCCAAAATTTACATGATATTTTGTTATGGAGAATGAGAAATATTTGGACATGCTGGTTGATTGAAGAAGTCAAGAGTTGACTATAATATCATGGGTGCCTCCTATTATGTTATATTTAACGACAGGACTCTAACATGTTTCTGATACCTTGATTATAATTGGTGACTTGGTTACCTTACCTAATGAGTGGGAATGAAAGATTATCTGACCAATACCGAAACTGCCTAAAAACAGAAGTCACCATTTAATCGAGGTATCGCCATGACAGTACGTTTGAAATGAGCGCTGAAATTCAACAAATTCGAACAACGCATAGACTCATTGTGCAAATAGTAGATTGTTTCATTAGGATCAAAAGTGACACTTTGTTTGACAAACGAATTTTCCATTTACGAGCCAAACAATGTCACTTGTGATCCGAATGAAACATGCTATTTTCTTGCAACCGAAAGAATTAAATGAAATGAATATGTGAAGTAACCTCCAATGTAACTTACTTGACAGATTCTTATAATATGTACCTTCATCATGTTAATATAGGTGAGTAGATAGAAGCAAGACCTCAGACTACTTTACATCAGAATATTGGTGGACGATGACTCAACATTGTTAAAATTTGTGTTGACATGCATCATCAGATACTACAGGCAGGAATTCAATACTATACCCGAAACGTGTATGCCGTGCCATATGTATGCGATGCAACAAATAATCCTTGGGCTGAGAATATTCTACCCGCATTCACAGATCAGGTTTATTCAATTTTCAAGGATGTTCCAATTGTAGTTTCAATATAAATTCAACCACAGAGTGACCCATTTGGGTTCAACTTCAGCTCCTAGGAACTAGAAGTGTTGCCTAGCAACATACCTATATGTTTGTGTCAGTAATAGAAACGACTTTCGTGTCGGTTGCAGAAAATAGTAGATTGTTTTATTAGGATCAAAAGTGACACTTTGTTTTACAAGCGAATTTTGCATTTGCGAGGCGGAGCGTTTAGCGGGAAATGTTCTTCGGAAATCTCTGCAATCATCCCTTCACTAGCAATACCAATCAGACGAACTAGACAAGCCCAGTCAGCACATCCTTTCGTTGTCAACCTCGAAAGATGTCGAACAGCACTTTATCAAGACTCCTTCATCCATAGAACGGCTAGGCTCTGGAATTCATTGCCTGTGGAAGTATTCCCAACAACATATAATCTCCAAAAATTCAAAAAAAATTTCAATACCTACCTCCTGTCCCTATCCTCCCTAGGAACGCACGATGTTCTTTGAACATTATAGGGATTCCCTCTCGTGCGCTCCAATCGATAAAAAAAAAAAATATCTTCATCGCAAGGATATTCTATATATTTACATTGTAATATTTCATGGTAATTCAAACCAAGGAAGAAATATCTCTTTATTAGTTCATTGGTATTAGTGTTCTCCATTTAACACATAAATAGGTCTACTAGGTGAGGTCTGTGACAACTTTCGCAAAGCACAACCACTTTATAACTGAATGCAAACATACACAACATACACAATTTTCTCAAAATTTTGAGAAAAAATCTCAAAATTTTGAGAAAAAATTTCAAAATTTTGAGATTCTGATAAAAAAATTAATAGGTTATTGTGGCGCTAATACGCCGTCGTACAGATCGCATCTGAAATTGCCTGAAAAAAAATCTCAATTCGAGCAACATAAGTCAATAACCCATCAGGGGTTAACCTTCACTTTCGATTTCGGCCTCAACCTTGATCTCAAGAAGTAACTACTTACTTCTTTGATTTGTTCCACACTCTTCGAGAACTTTTTATTGATGATTCATGAAATATTAATGATTGAAAGAAACATTCATCAATCCAGTGTATCAGACAAATTAGATATGGTTTTATTGAGACTATTGACAAGATGAATGATGAGACAGGGATCACTTTTACTTTCAATAGATGGATATCAATAACTTCAATCCTTCTCGATGTTTCTATTAAATGCATGAATCATCATAACAATTATTATCGAACAATAAACAATATACTCAGTGATTAAATTAATTGCTTCTATAAATACGAGTAGTATTCAATCGTATTATTGTCATTCCTATGGGAACTTTTGTTCGATGGAATCTTTTTGTGAATCTCTTATGGTTCGTAGCAAATTGAAGTTTGACGTCTAAATGCAATTCTGTATGAATTTTGAATTGATTTGGCCGTTACTTGGATGGCGAAACATGTCGTGTGTTTGAGAATTTTGTGGAAATCTTATCGTTTGTGAAGTTTTTACATCTGTATGAATTTTCTCACACACGAAATTGATGTCTCCTCTAGAAGTTCCTTCTCACCATCCGAAATTATTTTTTTCAAAAAAAATATTCAATTGAAATTGGAATACCTGGGATTCCTCAGAAGTTTTTTTCTGAGGCTCAATGATTATGAATTAAAAATGAACCTTTATTTAAGTACATGAATCAAGAAGGGTATCATAATCATAGTATTCTCAATTTTTCTCGAATGTTGCAGAATCAGATAACTTTCCGAAGGTCTAGAACCTTCTAGAATATTCTGTAACACTCCGGAATATTCGCGAACCTTCTGGAAGATTATCTTACAATCTGGAATTTTCTTAAGCTTCCTAATGAAAGATTTCAATACCGTGCATTCACAATCTGAAACATTCTGCATTATTCTCGAATAAACTGGAATATTCTAGGATATTCTAAATAGAATATTAGGTATATTTTTCAAGTATTGGAATGGTCCATATTCCAATCGGTTAGCGAATTTGCATAAGCCAAATTCCAAAGGTGTTGTAGATCATACTTTCTCTAACGTTATTTCAGGAATACAAAAAAATAAGATTAGAAAAACAGTTGAAGTTTCTGAGAATTCGAGGCTACAAACGTGATAAGATCTGGATAACATGTTGGGAGTAATCTTAGACGTAACCATAGCAACAGCGGTGAGTACTCAAGTATAGCTTCTTATCGGTCGGCAGTAGTGTATCATTTAGTATTATGTTTCTTTAATTTTGGCATTTAATTTGACACTTCAAAGTTGACGGAAATTTTGTTACGTCTTATTAATTCTTGTTACCAGTTGCTTGAAGTAGAGTATTACATAACTGGTTATGTAATGTTCATTTCAACACCAGTTATGGAGTAAAAATAAGGATGAACGAAGAAAATAATTCTTTTTTTGCTGCTTCCTTGTTATATCACTTGGAAAATCAACCATTTTCCACTAAAGAAAATATCAAACGAGTATATTTCGTGAATTTCTTCGCTGATTTGTGACCATATTTTGAACATAATCGGTGGAATTCATGAAAAAATTTTTATTTTTCATCAGAATCAGAAAGAATATTGTACGTAACTCGTAAGGAAATATCTATTTTCTAATTTTGACATGTACTTTGACACTTTCCAAAACTAATAATCCAGTGAATAGAGGATAGGTTCACCTTACAAACGGTCTGGTAGTTCTGAATTTTTTATATGTTATCTAGGATGGTTATGGAGTGTTTAAAATGCAAAATACACAATTCCCCGTCCCCTGCGCCCACTGCCATATTGAAAAAACCGAAAAAAATCGGAACTTTCTACAGATTTTTGCTTATATTATCGTTATGGTGCATTTTAGCTACAAAAGAGTCCCATTAAGTATTGTCGAGGATTAAATTCCCTATAATTCAATTTCAATTTTGATCCTAGGACTGATAGTGACGGAGATATGCACTTTTCAAAAAATGTAAAAATCGCATTTTCCGGAAACTTGTCAAATTTTTCACTTTAGAACGCTGTAGTCCACTTATGTCTTATTCTAGGGAAACAAGTATTGGTAGTGAATTTAATTACCTACAGGAATGCATGTACAATTTTTTTCACCAACCCTACGGAATGGGGAGTGAAAATGAAAGTTAAAACAACAGCATATTGTTTTTTTTTTCTATTGTGACTCCACATTGTATCTGAAAATATTCGTTAATTATTTTCCAGTTTCGAATTTGGTGTTTATACTAATCCTACTTTGAATTTTCACATGACACAGCGCGATGCTTGAGATGCAGGTACTATTTCAATTGATTACCTACCTGATGAGAGGGGATGTTCAATTTCAAAATACATTTTCCAAAGATTTATTCATTCAGACAAAGTAAGAATAAAGGACAGTTATAATTATACTAAATCGGTAGTAATTGAAATGAGAACTGTAAAGGAAACATTCACATGCGTTTCGCTCGTTTTGTAGGGGATGAGTTATTCAAGTCTGTGTCTCCATTTTCATCAGATAGTGAAGTAATTACTAGATCGGCATCGTTTTCGTTGTCGACGATGACTTCATCCCTGTTATTGCATTCTTGGCCAGCACAGAATTTGCAAAGTGCGGAACAATGTAGGCCCGCCTTTCTACAGCCACACGCTCCCATACAGCCAGTTGTGCATCTGCATGAGATGGTCTTGAGCAGATTTGGGGGAGCAGCGTCTCTACTCATCCTGATGGGCTCCAGTCTTCCAGCTTCTCTACACCAACCCCACTCGATAGGGTGTTTGACAATCCCCATCCACTCCATGACCTGGTGGTATGTCCTCAGGAAGTGAAAATGTTTGGAGTTAGTGGTCGGAGGTAGTTTTGCCAGATTGAGTTTGGTGGTACTTGTTTTCAATCTGCTATAGTGAAGGGAGCTCAACGATTGTTCTTTACTGCAGCAGGGTCCTCGAACCTCTCCGCTTGCTCCAGCAATGATGGCTCTTTCCTAAAAAGTTGGCAGAATTCATTCTTTTCGAACCCAAAAATGTTAGATGTGGTGTCGCAGCCTGATATTGCGTGCAGGAGCAAGATACAGCCTTTGGAGTTGTACTTGTATAGGAGGAGGCGGAGTAGATTGCGTCTGGATGTTTCCCTCTCGCTGGTTTTTTGAGGTAGATATTGTTCACCGCAGGTGTTGTGCCAGTTAGTAGGACGAGTAGGTCAATGTCTTCTCCGACAATGACGACGGCGTCGTACGTGGGAAACAGACATCTAGCTGTGGCAACTATCAACCTGTCAGCATCTTCCGAAGCTTGGTCTGTGGCTATATTTGACGCTTGCATTTCATTGCAGAGCAGCTTCACTAATCGGTCCTTGTTCCCCTCATTGGCCCTACTCTGTAGGGTTGGTTGAAAACGTATATGTGTGTTCTGTAGGCAATTGAATTCTTTACGAATCTTATCCTGGAACTTATTTCCCTAGAATAGGCAATAACTGAATTACAGCGTTCTAAAGTAAGAAGTTTGACCAAATTCCGGAACATGCGTTTTTTTTATTTTATATAAAAAATCATATCTCCGTAACTATCAGTCCTAGAAACAAAATTCGGAACGAGAATTATAGGGAATTTAATCCTCTACAATATTGAATTGAACTCATTTGTAGCGTAAATGCACCGAAACGAAGATATAAGCAAAAATCTGGAGGAAGTGCCGATTTTTTTGGGTTTTTTAAATATGGCGGAGGGCGCGGAGGGGGGAGAATTGTGCATTTTGCATTTTGAACACTCAGTAACCATCCTAGATAACATATCAACAATTCAGAACTACCGGACCGTTTTCTTTTCACTGGATTATAACGGAAGTTTTAAAACGTCTAAGCAAGATACGAAATAACATATGGAACAAGACAATTGTATGATCTGTTATTGAATCGAATAAAAATATGAAACTCAGGCAAAAACAATGGAGCGAAATGATTTTCAACAAAGCTATTATTCAGGTACCCTGTTGTTGCGCCACTGTGATAATTGTGATGAATGTAGTCGAGCCAGAAGATATAAATTTTCATACTTCAAGCAATGCTCGGCTGAAAATTACTTTTATTCTTTTGAAAAACTTCTACACCTTATTATTTCTCGAAATCGAAGCTCCAAAACATTTAAGTTGACATGATCTTCACATTTGATTTTCACGAGTTCAATCGCTTGTTTGGTTTTCCCGTTTAAAATCTGAGTCGTTCCTGGAATAGGTAATTCGGAACACCTAAGCCAACTGATGTTCATGATTAATAATAATTGTAGATCAAAAAACTGGAGAAACACCTTTCTATAAATATCCAAACTAAAAAGAAGCAGATAATAAAGAAAATATCAACATCTCCGTATAATCAGTACATTATATTGTCACGCCTACTTTTGGGGGAGCTCAATAATACAGGATGGTGTCTAGATAAAAGCCAGAATTCTTGATTCAGTTTTAATTGACTTGTCTGTCAGATGGTAAATTAACAAGTTATTAACATCATGTTTTACATAACTTTAAGTTTACAAGCAACATAATCATGGCACCCCTCCGTACCCCGTACGCCGGTGCTAAGTCAGCATAGACGTCGTCGCTGGTACTAGGCAAAGTCGTGTGGCAGTGGCGTCCGCGTGGCAGTGGCATAGGCAGTGGCGTCCGCGACAATATGTTGTGTATTTATCAACACACTTTAATTATTTTATGGTCTACTTCTTTTTAGTTTGGCCCTTTTTGAAAGGGCGTTTCTTTAGTTTTTTGAATTACTATTTTTTTTATATTTTTTAGTTCGGGTAGCTACAAAAGTGTGTTTTCTAGTGTTCTTATATTTTTGTAAATACCCAATTTTGACGAGAGGATCATAATCTCCGACCTCGTTAACCCCCAGATACCAACTTTGAATAGAATCAGATCACATCATTAAAAAAATTCGTTCACCATATTGGATCCGTCATCGTGAATTCTCCAATTTTGACGAGAGAATCATAATCTCCAACCCCGAAAACCCCCAAATACAAATTTTGAGTGGAATCGGATCATAATCACAAAAATCGTCCGCCATATTGGATCCGTCATATTGAATTTACCAATTTTGACGAAAGAATCGTCATATCCAATTTCTAAAATTCCCCAGATACCAATTTTGAATAGAATTGGATCATGCTTACAGAAGTTTTTCGTCATATTGGATCCGCAATATTGAATTTTAAAATTTTTACGAAATAATCATAATCTTTGATCCCGAAAGCTTCCAGATACCAATTTTGAATAGAATCATATCATAATTACAAAACTTGTCAGGCATTTCTCTCTTTCTTTGCTCAGACTCCCTTTTCTGTTTTCATCGTTTATCTTATAATTTTTCCTTTGTATTATCCATTATTGCTTCAATATACCTACACCGAATCAAAAAATCTGATGAAATATGAAAATATGATGTTAAATAGAATTATGCATCGCTTTTTATCACATTCTGTTCAATTGTAATAATCACCTAAACTTGAGTATCATTGAATCTGAGCACATATGTGATGTGGAATTTCAATCGACGCAATTTTCCGAAGTGAAACAACTCCATGGACTTGTTGTTCAACTCCATGGACATCTAAATACATGGAGTTGATGTCCATGGAGTTGGTGTTCTATAGTTAATATTCAAATATTCACACTGCTATTAAACCTGACCTCAAATTATTTCTCATGCATGTAAGACATTATTAGTTATACATTACTAGGATATTCAACGAATCTAAATGGACTCAGTCTATTTGTGATCAACGACATGGAGTTGATTGTTAATAAAAATACTCGCCTTGATTTCTAACTTTGTCTCCAGAATCCTGAATAAATTGCTTAAAGTTGACACGTTTCCCTGACAATCTTCAACTAACTGCTCTTGCTTGAAATGATGACACCTTGAAACATTACCTCAGGTGACAGCTATCGGTATTTCTGACAAAAATAACAGGCGTCCATGGAGTTGAGTTCCAAAATGGTGTCACATATTATTCATACATTTTACAATAACATTTCGGTGAAACTTCCTCTTTGCTTACACTCTCGTTATTGTTGAATCCCTTGAGAATATATTAACTGGTAAATAGTTTCATAATAGGGTTTATTTAGGGGTTTTTGATTGATTCCATTTCACCCATAGCAGCTGGTTACAGTCCATGGAGGTGATTTCAAAGGA